GAGAAACAAAGCCGCCAGGTGCCGGCCTCAAACCATAGTCGGCCATGTGGGAGTCCAGCACCCTTAACCACCATGCCACCTGCTGGCCCTGAAATTAAATAATTACTTTAAAAATATGAAGTGGAAAAAAACTAGAATACACAACTAAATATAGAGTTTGATCTCAATTTTTATAAGAATTAGAAATATACCAAAAAATTATATAATTATATACCAAAATATTATATAGTGATTGCCTTTGGGTGGTGGATTCTGTATGCTTTTCTAGAAGCAGTGTCCTACAGCTGCTTGGAAATTCTTTTTTTATAATTTATTATTTATTTATTATTATTATTTTTTAATTTGACCAGAGAGAGAAAGTAAGTAAGCTAACTGCCAGGTCAAAGACTTGAACTGCAGTTGTCCATGTGCTAGTCCAGCACCTTAACCACCACACCATATGCTGACCCCTCTATTATTGTTTTTACCATCTTTGTTGGATGGGCTTTAGCAGAAAATCCTGACTTTTTACTATTTGGTTAGTATTTTTGTGTTAAATATGAAAATTATAATAAAGTTTATCATAAAAATTATCATGGGCCATCAGGTGGCATGGTGGTTAAGATGCTGTACTCCAACATGGTCAACTACAGTTTGCATTTCAGGCCTAGCGACTTGCTTTCTCACTTTTTCTCTCTCTCTGGTAAGCACATGTACCCTATACAAATTAAATAATCATGGGGCCGGCAAGTGGCATGGTGGTAAAAGGCGATAGACTCCCACATGGCCGACTACGGTTCAAGTCTCGGACCTGGTGGCTTGCTTTCTCACTTCCTCTCTCTCTCTCTGTCTCTCTGATCAAACTGGAAAATAATAATGATAATAATAAATAAAGTTAAATAAAATAATTCTTTAAAAAAACAAATTAAATAATCATAATAGATACAATTAAATCTTAAAAAAAAAGATTGGGTTGTCAGAAAAAAATCAACGCATTTTTGCACAGAAAAACAGAAAAATACAACATGACTTGTCCAAAGACCCAGTAATTTTTGATAGCTATCGTGTGCTGGTTGACTGTGACTGGGTCAGATAGGCATTGGGTAGAGAAGTATTTGACCTTATTTGCGCATCAAGAGGCTTATAGACCATTAGGTCATTAAGAAAGTCATGACGTGTTTTTCTACGCAAAAGTGCATCATGACTTTGTCAATTATTCAATAAAATGCCAAAATGAACAGGCCAATTTAAGATTTAGTAGGGGACTGGCAGGTGGCATGATGGTTAAGGTGCTGGACTCCCATGTGGTCGACTGGGGTTCAAGTCCCAGATCTGGCGGCTTGATTTCTCTCTCTCTCTCTCTCTCTCTCTCTCTCTATTTCTCATTCTGTCCTTCTCTGGTCAAATTAAAATAAGTAAATAAAGTTAAATAAAAAATAATTATTTAAAAAACAATAAAAATAAATTAAAAAAGAGAAAGTGCTGAGTTGAACATAAAACAATAATGTAACACATATGAGAGTTGTTCTTGATTAGTAAGAGATGAGCTCTTTTTTTTTTAAGAGAGATTTTTGTTATAGGGCATGTGTGTTCACCAGGGAGACAGAGGCAAATGGACAAAAAGGGAGAAATCACCTCCTGGGAGGGATGACCACACCACAGTCCCTTCTCTTCCATTCTCTTCTTGGAATTTTGGGCATGTTCGCACATGTGCCTGGCACGAGTTTCAAGCCACCAGGTCCGAGACTCAAACCATGGTCAATTGTGGGAGTACAACAATGTAACCATTCCACCTTCTACTGGTCCCAAGAGATGAGCTCTTAATCACCTGGTGTTTGGAATTTCTATCTGCTATTACACGTGATAATAAAATAGCATAGACTTGACTGTGTACGTGTGTGTATTTAAGTTTGCTGTTGGATGCATACACTTACTGGAGAGAAACAGAAAAAATGAGAAAGCATCCCCCAGGGGGAATGGCCATGCCACAATCTCTTTTCCATTCTTCTTTTGGGATTTTGAGCACACACACACACACACGTGCACGCACACACAGTGTTTTTCAAGCTGCAGGGTCAGGGACTTGAACCACACAGTTGGCCATGTGGGATGATAGCCACCTCAACCACCACACTGGCCCAATAGTACAGACCTTTCAATGTGCTAGGTCTTGTCATAGCAGTAATGCAATGGACTCACCAGGTTTGTGTCCCAGGACTTTCCTGAGCACATTGGGTGCACTTGTGCATGCCTATCTATGATCAGGGACAGCTGAGTCTGGGGACAGATCACAGCATGGAGACCCTGGTAGGGATGCCTGTCTCTCTGACTCTGTGTACCTTTGTTTCTCTCACTCATGGAAAGAAATAAAATAGGGCTGGATCCATAGCCTAGTGTTAAGAGGGCTGGATTTCCTGGTCAACTGTGCAGTTTGAATGCTGTCCTTGATAGCACACACACACACACACGTGCACGCACACACAGTGTTTTTCAAGCTGCAGGGTCAGGGACTTGAACCACACAGTTGGCCATGTGGGATGATAGCCACCTCAACCACCACACTGGCCCAATAGTACAGACCTTTCAATGTGCTAGGTCTTGTCATAGCAGTAATGCAATGGACTCACCAGGTTTGTGTCCCAGGACTTTCCTGAGCACATTGGGTGCACTTGTGCATGCCTATCTATGATCAGGGACAGCTGAGTCTGGGGACAGATCACAGCATGGAGACCCTGGTAGGGATGCCTGTCTCTCTGACTCTGTGTACCTTTGTTTCTCTCACTCATGGAAAGAAATAAAATAGGGCTGGATCCATAGCCTAGTGTTAAGAGGGCTGGATTTCCTGGTCAACTGTGCAGTTTGAATGCTGTCCTTGATGGCCTGGAAAACCCCCTGATGTGTGTGCATGTCCGTCCAGAATCCTGAAAGGAGGGCAAAATGGAGCAAACAGGATCTCAGTGGGACCATGCACCACTGTGGGGGGTGCTTTCTCTCTCTGTCTCTGGCAAGTACACATGCCTTCTAGCAATTAAAAAAATAGCATAAACCTTTTTGATTCATAGATTGAAATACGTATTTCAGAGGTGGTTTTTTTTTTTAAATACACAGTTTAAGCGACTTTTTAATTTAATTTTGAAAAAGCTTTTGATTATTATTATTTTTTTTTATCTTTTAGGCTTATCAAAAATTTGGCTTTGTGTCAAAGACAAGTCAAGATTTAACTTTTCTCTGGTGAACGAGCATATAGATTGTGATATGTCGACCCAAGAAATAAATAAACATGCAGTTCTCCCTCCTATCATTGGAAGAAGAGACAAAGAATTTTTGGAAAGTATGCAAAGATACATAATTACAGAAACTGAAAGAGTGGGCTGTAATGAGGAAGGACCTGCTGATGAATATTACATCATATACCGAAACGTTTTTGATAAGGTATCTTAGGACTATGAATTTTTCATGAGAGTGGAAACTAACTATCTTGACAATATTCCTGCCTTAGTAGCACCACTGTTTTGCCATATTTCATTTGTCAGTTTTGAGAAGTCATCCAATTTGTCAGAAAGGGATAAATGGGAAAAATGCAATGCTGATTTTATGTTACCTGACTATTCATTGTATTTGAGGTATTTTAGTTTAAGAGCAGGCTGTCAGTTTTTGATCAATGACCTGGTTGTGCTCTCTGATAATCATTTGGCTCCTCTATCAGAAGGTATCGTCGAATTTGTTGGGAATTGGATTACATGCCAGAACCTGATAGTTCCTTCTTGTTTGGGATTTGTTTATAGTATCAGTGAAACCTTGTTTAGATGGATCTGTCATTGTTAAACTGAGACCTCTTGTAGGCTAGAGGTCTTAGGCATGGTGAACAAGGGATTTCAACGGATTTATCACTGGAAATATAGAGATCAGATTAGAAAATTCTATGGCTTTATAGAACATGTTTAATTTTGTGCTTTAAGCTTTTAGAAATAAGTACCTATTTTTCCTCATAAACAATTGCAGTTTTCCCACTGAACCTAATTTTTTTTTTAACCCAGCTTTTCTTACTCCTTATTGAGAGATACTCTGACCGTGAAATCTGCATCTTTTGCTTCTTGTCTGGTGGAAGTATCATGCTTACCTCAGAATTCAGTAAACTTTTGGTCTCTGAATGAAACAACCACAGATAAAATAGGAACTCAGTCTTTTTATCACTTTTTTTTTTTTTTTGGAGACGGTTTTTTTTTAGAGGTTTCTGCCATAGGGCACGTGCGCTCGCCAGACAGACAGAGACAGAGAGACAAAAAGGGAGAAATCACCCCCCAGGGGGGATGGCCACGCCACAATTCTTCTTCTCCATTCTCCTCTTGGGATCTGGGGCACGCATGCACATGTGCCTGGTGTGAGTTTTTTTAAGCCACTGGGTCTGGGACTTGAACCGCGGTCGACTACATGGGAGTCCAGCGACATAGCCATTATGCTAACTGCTTGTCTTGTCTTTTTTTCACTTTTTAAATATTGTACTATTTGTCCTTTAAATAATATCTAGTTCCTTATTTTAAGGACAAGTGAACACAAAATAGTGATATGGAACTGCTGGTAGAATTAAGAAAATTGATACATATCCTTAAGAGTACAAAATAGAGAAACAGTCTTTTCTTCCTCTTAAGTCATTCAGATAAAGCTATCTTTTAGAATTAGTACATTGGCAGGGACCAGCATTTAGCATAATGGCTGTGCCGCTGGACTCCCACATAGTCAACCATGGTTCGAGTCCTGGACCCAGTGGCTTAAACTCACGCCGGGCGTGTGTGCGTGCGTGCCCAAGATCCCAAGAAGAGAATGAAGGAGAAGGGATTGCGGTGTGGCCATTCCCCCAGGGGGGTGATTTCTCGCTTTCTGTCTGTCTGGTGAGTGCACGCGCCCTATAGCAAAAACCTCTCCAAAAAAAAAGAATTAGTACATTGACATATTAGCTTTATTTATATGTTAAGATTAGCACCCTTAGTGTTTTAGTTATTAAGGAATGTATTAGTTGAATATTAAATAAAGGTAATGTTTTGTTTATTATTTTAAATTGTGATTTTGGGTTTACATATATTTGATCTATATCTTTGTGAGGGTAAAGTATAATTTTTTAATAATATGTGTATAATGTATAGTAAATCATATCCTCCTTCAACATTGAACATCATATTAATATTATGCTGTGTGCAATTGATAATAGTTCTGTTAGTATTTTTCCTTATAATATGTATTAAATTGTCCATATATTTAAAAAAATTATCCATATTATTTACTCTGGTGTAGTTAGTTCACTGTGCCATAGCCTCTTCTTATTTACATGCATTCTTATATCCTTTAAAATTTTTCTCACCTTCCACCAAGCAACTTCTGGTATCTGCTGTCAATCTACTTCTATGCTTTTGAGTCCTTTGAGTCCTTCCATTTCTGCCATACATACAGTGTAGACATTTGATATATATTAGATGGGGACACACCAGGTTTGTTTGTCGTAGTCTGGCTTATGTCACTTATGTCTCTTAGGTTTGTCCACTTTGTGTAAAATGACAAGGTTAGTGTCTTGAATAGATTTCATGAACATATCAGCACCCATGCTAAGGCTCTACTTGGGTGAAGTCAGGAAAGTAAAGTTCTCACAACTGTGCCATGCTTATCTTTGCATGCCCAAATGTTAACACTTGTCATAATTGTTCTTAAATAGGGACCAGTAGATGGTGTAATAGCTACGTTGCTGGATTCCCATGTAGTCGACTGTGGTTCAAGTCCTGGGCCTGGTGGCTTAAGCTCACACCTGGTGCATGTGTGTGTGTGTGCCCAAGATCCCGAGAGGAGAATGGAGGAGAAAGGATTGTGGTGTGGCCATCCCTTCTGTCAGGTGATTTCTCTCTTTCTATCTCTCTGTCTCTTTCTGTCTTTCTGGAGAGTACACGTGCCCTATAGTATAAACCTCTCAAAAAAAAAATTGTTCTTAGATAAAAAGCTATCTGCTTTTGGGACCAGCAGTGGCATAATGGCTATGTCGCTAAACTCCTATATAGTTAACCATGGTTCGAGTCCTGGACCTGGTGGCTTAAACTCACGCAGGGCATGTGTGCATGCGTGCCCAAGATCCCAAGAGGAGAATGGAGAAGAAATTGTGGCATGGCCATCCCCCCTGGGGGGTGATTTCTTGCTTTCTGTCTCTCTGTCTCTCTCTCTTTCTGGCAAGCACACGTGCCCTATAGCAAAAACCTCCCCCACCCCCTCCCAAAAAAAGCTATCTACTTTAAGTTAGCATGTCTATAGTAAAGTAATTTTGGAGGTGGTGTTGGTAAAGTTAATTCTCAGAGAAAATACATGGAGTTAATTAAAATATAATATCTATATCTATAGTCCATGTTTCTTTTCTCTCCCATCTTCCTAAATTTTCAACTAGACTGTTTAAATAGTACAGTGTATAATAATAACTTGTACATTTGTGTACTATAAAGAATTCTATTCTGGGGCCAGCAGGTGGTGTGGTGGCTAAGGGTGCTGGACTCCAATGTGGCCGACTGTGGTTCAAGTCCCGGATCTGGCAACGAGAGGTTTTTGCTATAGGGTGCGTGTGCCTGCCAGAAAGACAGAGACAGAGAGACAGAAAGCGAGAAATCACCCCCCAGGGGGATGGCCATGCCACAATCCCTTCTCCTCCATTCTCCTCTCGGGATCTTGGGCACACATGCACATGTGCCCGGTGTGAGTTTATGCCACTAGGTCTACGACTCTAACTGCAGTCAACTCCATGGGAGTCCAGCGACATAGCCATTATCCTATCTGCTGGTCCCACAATTTTTTTTTTTTTGAGAGGTTTTTGCTATAGGGCATGTGAGCTCTCCAGAAGACAGAGACAGAGAGACAGAAAGCAATAAATCACCCCCTGGGGGGATGACCATGCCACAATCCCTTCTCCTCCATTCTCCTTTTGGGATCTTCTCGCATGAACACATGCCTGCCATGAATTTAAGCCACTGGGTCTGGGATTCAAACCGCAGTAGACTACATGGGAGTCCAGTGGTTCAAGTCCTGGATCCAGAGGCTTGAAAATCACACTGGGTACATGTGTATGCATACCCAAAATCCTGAGAGGAGAATGAAGGAGAAAGGATTCCTGTGTGTCTGTGCTCCCTGGGGGATGATTTCTCACTTTTCCTCTCTCAGCCTCTCTTCAGTAAGTGCATATATCCAATGGAAAAAAGTCTAAAAAAAAGTAAGGAGGACCTGAAACTATATATTCTATACCAAGTCAAGAGTAGAGCTAATAACCTAGTGAGTGAAAACAAAAACTAGGAAGACAGCCGGAAGGTAATACGGAAGAGTTACGTGGGTCAACTATAAGAGAATAAGGGATAGTGGAACTGTAGTAAAATGAAGAATTAACCCAATCTAAAATTCCAGGTTTCTGATTTGGGTAGACAGGCAATATGGTTAGGTCAAAAGGCACCAAATATCTCCCATTCAAATATCTTCCCCTGGTATTTGTTGCTGATCACTGATCTCCTTATATTATTTCTTGGTGGACCAAATGTCTTCCTGGATGATTTTTTTCTAGATGTTCTCTAGCTAACAGAAAACCAGAGGAGAATAGCTCTAAAAAAAAAAAAAAAAAAATTGAAACCATACTGCTTCTGTTGTTACAGAGTCATAAGATTATACAAAATTAGAAGAAATATTTTGAACATTATCTTTAAAATTCAGTATTTAGAAATTTTGAAAGGTTTTTTTTGTTTGTTTGTTTTTTGTTTTGAGAGGTTTTCGCTATAGGGCATGAGGGCTCACCAGACAGACAGAGACACAGAGACAGAAAGTGAGAAATCACCCCCCAGTGGGGATGGTCACGCAGCAATCCCTTCTCCTCCATTGTCCTCTCGGGATCTTGGGCATGCATGCACACGCACCCGGTGTGAGTTGTAAGCCACTGGGTCTGGGACGTGAACTGCGGTTGACTACGTGGGAGTCCAGCGACATAGCCATTACGCTAACTGCTGGTTCCTGAAAGTTGTTTATAAACTGTCAAGTACTATGGAGTTTGAGCTAAAATTTTTTGATATGTAAAGTGAATGTTTGTGGAAAAATGTAAAAATAAATAAACGAAAGAAAAAATAAGATGTAGCAAAGGTAGAAAACACAAGTGCAGCTCTCAGAGAAAATTATGGATCTATCTCAACCAACCCCTATAGACAGCATTGCTTTCTAAAATCCTAATAAGTAGAATTTCGAACCTATAAATTATAAATATTTTTGGTTTTAACTTACCTAAAACTGTTTTTTTTCCTTAGAATTATTCACTTAATTTTATTTATTGTTTTTATTTTGACCAGAGAGAAACAGCAAGAGAGAGGGAAAGTGAGAAAGCAAGCCACCAGGTCCAGGACTCAAACCATGGTTAGCCATGTGGGAGTCTAGCACCTTAAACACTATGTTACCTGCTGGCCCCTAGAACTGTTTCTTAATGATTTATTTTCACATAGGTAATACATGCATAAAATTAACTCCTGGTATCCCACCCTCCCTACTTAGCATCCTGGGGATAGACATGCAATTAGGGGACCAGCCAGTGGTATATTGATTAAGGCATCAGAATCTCACGTGGCTTCCTGTGTGGTTGGAGTCCTGGACCGAGTGGTTTGAAAAACATGTTGGGCGCAAATGCATATGTGCTCAAAATCCTGAAAACAGAAAGGGAGACAGGATTGCACTGGATCATTCCCCAATGGATGGATGCTTTCTCACTCTTGCCTCTCCTTCCCACTGAAAGCATATGCACCCTCTAACAAATTGTACTAAAAAATACAATTAGAGGGCCAGCTGGTGGCGTGGTGGTTAAGGCACTGGATTCCCACATAGCAACCATGGTTTAATCCCCAACCTGACACCTTGAAAAATACGGGTTCATGTGTGTATGTTTGCCTAAAATCCCAAGAGGAGAATGGAGGAGAAGGGACTGTGACATGGCATTCCCCAAGGGGTGATTTCTTACTTTCTTTCTCTGTCTTTCTCCAGGGAGCACATGTGCCCTCTGGCTAAAACCTTAAAAAAAAAAAAAAAAAAAAAAAGAATAATAAGGTATTGAGAATATTGGTTAGCCAGTAGGAGTTGGTAAGCTAAAAACAAACAGAGACACACAAAACAACACAGGGAAGTGAAGTGAGATCTGGATTTTAAGCTCTAAATGAAGTCAGAGACTAGATGTAGAGGAAGAGAAGATATGTAATTATATTTAAAATATCTAGAATTGGGAAAATTAGACCTGGTATTAGTTTTAATTGACATATTATTTATGTATTTATACCAAGTAGAACAAAAATATGGTCTTTATCATTCTCTCCTACTTAAGCTCATAGTATCTACTGTAATAATCCACAATGATCAAGTATTCAGTAAATTGTCTTTAGTGCCCAGTCATGTTTGAGTTTACTGTAAAAATTTTAAATTTCTAATTGTTAATCATGTTTCATTCAAAAATAATTTGTAATGCTATTTGCAAGGCTTTTGGTTCATTGTCTTCTAGAAAAAAAATTCAATACCACAGGCAGAAAAATCATATTTCAGGTAATAGAATATGTCACTGTATACAAAGCCGTTCTCACTTCAATCAAAAAAGAATACGACGCCTTTATTGAGAAAATAAAGAAAGACCGAAGAGCTGTATTTAATCTTCATGGAAAACTTAAAGTTTTGGCAGCAGAGCCCACAGCTTTGATATATCACAGGAAAAGAAAAATCCAACTTGAAGCAAAGTAAGTATATTAACAATTAGCCCCCAAAAAGTGATAATTGTGACTTGACTATAATGATGTGACTCTAAACAGTGGTTCTTAGTCATTTTGAATTTTAATTTTATTTTAAAGTCATTTGTTTATGTTATTGACTCCTAACAATTGAAATTACTGTATTTTTAACATTTATTTTAAGTAAAAATTTAAATTTTGCTTGAGAACTTTATGACACTTCGTATAATTGGAGCACACTTTAGTATCATAAAATGAAGGATGCAGGTAATTACTCTAGGCAATTTCTTGCTTGAGAGATTTGATAGTACAATGTCAGGATTACTGTCTGAATTAGAGCACTTAATCCCGTGATGTGCAAGGTAAGTAACCTACTAGGAGAAGATAGAATGCTCGTGGGGGCCAGCAGGTGGCATGATGGTTAAGAGTCCTGGACCTGGTGGCTTCCTCTCTCTCTCTCTCTCTCTCTCTCTCGCACTCTCGCACTCTCGCACTCTGTCCCTCTCTGGTCAAATTAAAATAAATAAATTAATTAATTAAATGAATTCTTTAAAAAAACGGTCACTCTTGTTGTGTAGTCTTGTATTTTCAGTGTTACAATTAATGATAGATAAGTTATTTTTATAGATAATTTCAAATCAACCTGTCCAAAATTTTGGATCAAACTTATCCAAAGTTTGATCTCCATTTCTAGTAATATGGCTGACTAGATGTTCAGATAGATCTCCCTCTTGGAGAAAAATGCTATATAAGGTATTTTTTAGAAGTCTTTGCAAAAGCATCAGAAAACTGACAAGATAATAAAAGATTTTCAAAGCAAAATCTAACAGAAGACAAAAGGTAATCAGAACATGGGGCCAGCAGGTGGCATGGTGGTTAGGGTGCTGGACTCCCACATGGCCAACCCAGTCTTGGATGACACCTTACTTTCTCACCTTCCCTTTTTCTCTGGTCAAATTTTAAATAATAATAATAATAATAAATCAAATAAAATTTAAAAATAATACTTCAAAAAAAGATAACTAAAGCACTAAAATTGCTTTGGCCCTAAGAACATTTGTTAACATAGTGACCGTAAGTTTCTTTCTTTCTTTTTTTTTTTTTTTAAAGATTTTTGCTATAGGGTGTGTGTGCTCACCAGAGACACAGAGAGAAAGAGAAAGTGAGAAATTAGCCCCCAGGGCCACACCGCAATCTCTTTTCCTCCATTCTCCTCTCAGGATTTTGGGCATGCATGCACAAGCGCCCAGTGTGAGTTTTAAGCCACCAGGCCTGGGACATAAACCATGGTCAACTATGTAGGAGTCCAAAGATGTAACCGTTATGCCATCTGCTGGTCCTATGACCATAAGTTTCTGACATAGGTGATAAAAGACAAAACTTAGGATCGTCTGCTCAAGAGAAAGATAGGGAACCCATCCCATATAAAACTTAGGACAACAAAGGGACACAACCTAGTAGGGTAAACCAGGAGTAAACTACTCTATCAATATTCCCATATCTTAGTATATTCTGTGACTGTATTAAAATTCAATGAATTATAGACTTTTTTTTTGGAGAGGTTTTTGCTATAGGGTGCATGCACTTGCCAGACAGACAGAGACAGAAAGTGAGAAATCACCCCCCTAGGGGGATGGCCATGCTGCAATCCCTTCTCCATTCTTCTCTCAGGATCTTGGGCACACACATGCACCCAGCATGAGTTTAAGCCACCATATCTGGGACTCTAATCATGGTTGACTATATGGGGGTCCAGTGACATAACCATTACGCCAACTGCTGGTCCTGAAATAGTTTATAAGAATAAAATTTAAGGTGTATAAACTATATCTCAATAAAGCCATTATAAAAAGATACAGAGAATAGGGTGAAGAGGTTTATATTATATGCAATCATAGCTCTAAAATAGAAGAGAAGATGGGACAGAGATGATCTTTGAAGAGATAATAGCTGAGAATTTTCTAGAAAAGGTGAAAGACACCAATTCACAAATTCAAGAACCCAAGAAAGCCCAAACCTCGTAAGTGCTACTCAACTACAATAGATTGATCATAGTGAGGTGGTAAGAGATAAAGAGATCATAAAAGAAGCATAGAAAGGAGCAAAAATTGGATAACATTGGGACCAGCAAATGGCATAATGGTTATGTCACTGGACTCCCACATAGTTGATCACAGTTCAAGTCCTGGACCTGAAGACTTAGAACTCATGCTGGGCATGTGCGTGTGCATGCTCAAAATCTCTAGAGGAGAATGGAGAAATGATTACAGTGTGGCCGTCACCCCTGGGAAGTGATTTCTTGCTTTCTGTCTCTCTTTATCTCTCCTGTGAGCTCACGTGCCCTATAGCAACAACAACAACAAAAACTCTCAAAAAAATAATGTTGTGACCCATTTGTTTTAAGAGAATTGAATGAATTGGAAATTCACTCCTTTTTATGGCTGAATAATGTTTGGGGTGTGTATGTGTGCATCTGTGTGCACATTTTGTTTACCCATTCCTGTTTTGATGAATACTTAGGTTATTTGTTTCCTATTTTGGCTATCATAAATAATGCCTTCATGAACATTCATGTGTAAGCATCTGTTTGACTCCCTGTTTTCAGTTCTTTTGTAAGTCTGTTTACTTTTTATGTACTTTACTTCCACATAGATTTATTTGGAATAAAGCCAAGGGATATTTTATTTCCACAGTCCTCTTTTATAAATACTGTACCCTCTTACTCTGAGCCATCTATAATATATAATATATATAATATAACCAGAAGCAGGCAGTAGTTTTCTACTGACAAACTAGTTTTTTTGTTTGTTTGTTTGTTTTGTTTGTTTGTTTGTTTGTTTTTTTACGTTTTAGTTTTTGCTATAGGACAGACGCATTCACCAGAGAGAGATGGAAAGAGAGGGGAAGTGAGAAATCACCCTCCACCTTGGCAGAAGGACATGCCACAATCCCTTCTCCTCTACTCTCCTCTTGGGATTTTCAGCATGTGACAAACTAATTTTCAATATGGCAAAAATTCTGTGACATTTATGTATTAACAAAGCTTCATCAAGTTTTAGCAGGCTCACCTGAATGCTTTTTTTTTTTCCCCTAATTTTGCCATAGGGTACATGCACTTACGAGAGAGACCAAGAGAGAGAGAGAGAGAAGGGGAGAAATCTTCCTTTAAGGGGGACGGCCATTCTACAGTCCTCCTCCATTCTCCTCTCAGGCATACACACATACCCCGTGTGTTTTTCAAGCTGCTGACAGTCAACCATGTGGAATCCAGCCACCTTAACCACCATACCATGGGCTAGTCCCCCAAATGTTTTTCAACTAGACATGACTTGTAAACTTCCATATTCATTTGTGCACTGTCCAGTTTTAGCAAGAATCCAATAAGGTTGGTTAAGTCGTTATCCCTCTGCCTTGATATCTGATCACCCCCTGGCCTGCCTTCAGCAAGAATTCTATTAGGTCAGTTTATCCAGACGGCCCCCTTAACATCTGATGTTTTTTCTTAGTAATTTTCCATTCACTCGCCCCCACCCTGCTGCTTGGCTGTAAATTCGCACTTGCCCATTCCATTACAGTGGTTCCCATACCTATTGCCATAGTCCCTCTTTAATAAAGTCATCCTTACTGTGCTTTAACAAGTGTCATGAATAATTTTTCTTTGACTGTGTTAACTTGTTTTAATCCATTATTTATCTCATAGGCTACCATAACTAGGAAGGATACTTAAACATAGAAATTTGTTGAAATTTATACTACTTCTTGGTCTTAAAGATCCCTACTCTGGAAGAACTCAATTTTATCTCTGAAAAATGCTATCCTTCCTCTAGCTCTAGGATCACAATTACTGTAGACTGAATAATGGCTCCCAAAGATATCAGGTCCTAATCTTTGGAACCTAAATATAATACCCTTATTTGGAAAAAGGGTCTTTGCAGATGTGAGTAAGTAAAGACTTTGAGATAGGGAGATTATTACGTGAGCCTTAAATACAGTCACAGGTGTCCTTATGAAAGCGAGTCAGATGGATCTTTGACACAGGCAGAGGAGAAAGTGAACAGTGTGACCATAGAGGCAAAGGCTCAAACAGTGTAGCCACAGGGTGCCTGCAGCTCCTGGAGGCTGCAAAAGAGAGAATAACTTCTTCTCTAGAGCTTCTAGAGGAAACTCAGCCTTGATACACTTCGTGGGTTTTTTTTTTTGGAGATTTTTACTATAGGGGGGTGCATGTGCTCACTGGAGGAGAATGGCCATACCACAGTCCTTTCTCCTCCATTCTCCACCTGGGATCTTGGGCATGCATGCATACATGACCAGTGTGAGTTTGAAGCCACCAGGTCTGAAATTCAAACCTCAATTGGCCATGTGGGAGTCCACAATGTAACTGCTATGCCATCTGCTGGCCCTAATATGCTTTGACTTTCGTCCAGTGATACTAATTTTGAATTTCTGGCCTCTAGCAATGAGAGAGAATATATTTCTGGTTGTATGTGTATGTGTGTGTGTTTTAATACATTTTAAAAAAAAATTATTTAACTTAATGTATTTATTGGTTTATATATTTAAATTTGACCAGAGAGGGATAGAGTGAGAGAGAGAAAGTGAGAAAGCAAACTACCAGTTCTGGGACTTGAACCGCAGTGTGCCCTTAACCACCGCACCACCTACCGGTCGCTATATTATTTTTGTTTTTTATTTTTTTTGGTGAAAAATGGTTTATCAATTCAATTTTTGTATAAAACACATGGGAGGGACCAGCAGTTAGCGTAATGGCTATGTCGCTGGACTCCCATGTAGTCGACCGTGGTTCAAGTCCCGGACCCGATGGCTTAAACTCATGCCCGGTGCATGTGCATGCATGCCCAAGAAAGATCCCAAGAGGAGAATGGAGGAGAAGGGATTGCAGCATAGCCATCCCCCCTGGGGGGTGATTTCTCGCCTTCTGTCTCTCTGTCTTTCTGGTGCACAAGTGCCCTAAAGCAAAATCCTCTCCAAAAAGAAAAAAAAAAAAAAACACACACACATGGGAGAAACGTAGCTAGTCAACACACAACTGTCACCACATGAAAAAGTACTTTTATCAAACTTCGAGTCTTAGAACGTACAAATGATTTTTTTTATTTTTAAGGACCAGCCTGTAGTGTGTGTGTTTTGGATTTTTTTTAAAGAGAGATTTTTTTTTTTTTTTGGAGAGGTTTTTGCTATAGGGTGCGTGTGCTTGCCAGACAGACAGAGAAAGACAGAGACACAGAAAGCAGGAAATCACCCCCCAGGGGGGATGGCCACGCCACAATCCCTTCTCCTCCATTCTCCTCTTGGGATCTTGGGCACACACGCTCACACGCCTGGCGTGAGTTTAAGCCACTGGGTCCGGGACTCGAACCGCGGTCGACTATGTGGGAGTCCAGCGACATAGCCATTATGCTAACTGCTGGTCCCTAAAGAGAAATTTTTTGCTGTAAGGGGTGTATGCTCGCCAGAGAGACAGAAAGTGAAAAATCACCCCACCCATCCCCCAGGGCGGGGATGGCCACACCGCAATCCTTTCTCCTCTAATCTCCTCTTGGGATTTTGGGCATGCAAGCAAACGCACCCAGCATGAATTTTAAGGTTCCGGGTCTGGGATTCAGACCACAGTTGACTATTAGGGAGTCCAGAGACATAACCATTACACCATCTGCTGGTCCCCACGTAGTGTGGTTGTTAAGGTGACTGGATCCCACATGGCTAACTACCTGATTCAAGTAACAGACCCTATGTCTTGAAAGACACTTCGGGTGTGTGTGCATGGATGCCCCAAATTCTGAGATAATGAAGGAGATGGAAGTGTGAGGTGGACCTTCCCCAAAGGGGGAGGGGGAGAGGTAATTTTTCACTTTTTTTTTTTTGAGAAGTTTTTGCTATAGGGCGCATGCGCTTGCCAGAAAGACAGAGAGAGAGGGACCAGCAGTTAACATAATGGCTTTGTCGCTGGACTCCCATGTAGTCGACCGCAGTTCGCGTCCTGGACCCGGTGGCTTAAAACTCACGCCGGGCACATGTGCGTGCGTGCCCAAGATCCCGAAAGGAGAATGGAGGAGAAGGGATTGCGGTGTGGCCATCCCCCCTGGGGGGGGCGATTTCTTGCTTTCTGTCTCTCTGTCTCTCTGTCTGGCGAGTACATGCGCCCTATAGCCAAAAAACCTCTAAAAAAAAAAAAAAAGGATGGACATGAGGGCATATCCCTGGAACCTTGGAGGGTCCGGCTCCCAGGGCAAAAATTTTTTCTAAATTTTATTAGTTTTATATTTATATCTGTGTTTTTTTTTTTTTTGAGAGGATTTTGCTATAGGGTGTGTGAACTCACCAGAAAGAGAGAGAAAGACAGAAAGCGAGAAATTACCCCCCAAAGGGGATGGCTATGCTGCAATCCCTTCTCCATTCTCCTTTTGGAATCTTACATGTGTACACATGTGCCTGGAGTGAGTTTAAGCCACCGGGTTTGGTACTTGAACCATGGTCGACCTTGTGGGAGTCCAGCAATGTAACCATTACACCATTTGCTGGTACCACAAAAGTAATTTTTTTAAAAAGAATTCTTTATTTTATTTATTATTATTTTTTATTCGCTCACCAGAGAAAGAGAGACAGAGGGAAAGTGAGAGAGCAAGCTGCCAGATCCAGGACTCCATCCTCAGTCAGCCATGTGGGAATCCAGTGCCTCAACCACCATGCCACCTGTCGGCCCCACAAAACTAATTTTTGACTAAAGGGAATAGATAGAATTTTCTGGACATATTGTTTTCTTTAATATCAATTATGTTATGAATTTCTAAAAAAAGGAAGAATCATGGTATGAAATTTTATTAATCCCTTGAAAGAAAATCATTATCTCCCCCCTACCCCATAACCTAGGGAACTTTTTATGAAGAATTATTTTAATTTTTACTTATTATCTTTTAATTTGTTATAGGGCATATGGACACACCAGAGATAGAGACAGAGAGAATGAGAGGGAAAAGTAAGAAAGCAAGTCGCCAGGTTTGGGACTTGAACTGTGGTTGGTCATGTAGAAGTCCATCACCTTAACCACCAGCTGGTCCCTTGGGAGTTTTGATTTATCTATTTTTTCCTTTCAAAATATTTATTTCAAAAAGTTTTGTAAACAAGAAAAACAAAAGGCACCACAAACCCTGCCTATCTTGTAAACAGTGCAGCCTGGAGCAGTTTGTGTTCCACGACATTGCCTGGGCTGTAGCCTGGTGTGGGGTGCTGATAAACCTATGACTCCAGGCCTCAGGCCAGACCTAGGTAGAGGGACTCACTGGTGAGGGATGGTCCCTAAGCTTCTAAATTGTTCCTTATTTTCGAAGCTAGTTAACTTTTTCAGGACATTGTTTTTTAAACTTCAATCTAGTCCATAATTGTTCAAAATGATAGTTATTCAAAACAAAAATCACGATTTATTGTTTTGTCAGAAAAGTCATGACCTATTTTTCTATGCAGAAATGCATTATGGCTTTTCTGATGACCTAATAACTTGTTTTACTTTAGATCTTATGTTCAGAATTAAATTAGTTTAAAGAAATGTAAGAAAGGCTTTCTGTTTTTCAGAATGAGGAGTATTGAAAATAATTCGTTGAAGATTCAATCACAAATAGATCAAATGAAACAGCTTAGGGCAGAGTATGACACCAAAGAAGTAAAATACTGTACTTTCTCCAATGATCCTTCAAAACCTATTCCAGGTACTGTAGTTTTGTCTTAAATGTTTTAGAGGAATCCCAATTATTATGACCGATTATGCAAGTTAATATCAGTGTGCATCATACAAGTGCAGATTGTACAAACAACTTTGGTTAGGACTCTGGGTGAATGAATATAAGGGAATGGGAAAACTTTAAACAATGCTGTAAGGTTAAAAGCGTTCCAATCTGGCTGGATTATTTCAGTACAGTGCAGTGACTTTAAAGTATGGTTCCTGTGTTTCTGTGTGTATGTGTGTGTGTGTGTGTGTGTGTGTGTATGTGTGTGTATGTGTGTGTGTTATGTAATGAAGGGAAGGGAGACTGAGAGTGAGAGGACTGAAGATTTGGCAGGCATTTGCAAGCTTTGTCTTGGAAAGAATAAACTGGTTACCCTGGGCTTAGCTTAGTAGAGTAAGGGGAGATACGTACAGAGAAATCCAGTGATGCACTCCTGAGTTGTTAGACAGAGGCCTTGGTATTACTGAGTAAGTAGTTTTTTAGTGGTTTTCAGGATGTGATCATAAGGTCATTACATTTTTTTTTCAGATAAGGGTTTGCATGTTTTAAGAATAATCTTTACTGCATCTTCATTGATAATATTTAAAACTGTTAGCCATAACCACTTTTATGCTGATTTTGTTTAAATTCAGTAAGCTACAAGTACGTGTTACTATTCTGTTTTGTTTTGTGTGTGTGTGTGTGTGTGTGTTGGGAGAGGTTTTTGTATAGGGCGCGTGTGCTTGCCAGAAAGACAAAGACAGAAAGACAGAAAGCGAGAAATCACCCCCCAGGGGGTTGGCTACACCACAATCCTTTCTCCATTCTCCTCTTGGGATCTTGGGCACGCACGCAAACATGCCCAGTGTGAGTTTAAGCTACTGGGTCAGGGATTCGAACCCAGTGACATAGCCATTATGCCAACTGCTGGTCCCCGGTGCTACTATTCTGAATTAATAGTGAACTGTGTGACCTACCTTGGGAAGATTTGCTGTTTGAGTGTGAATCTCACACATGACTTAGCCCATTTTATTTTTTTCCTTTTCCTATAGGCATGACTCTCGAAGACTCTGTCAATCTAGATGCTCTCACTAAATACATGAAACATCTTCAAGATAAATATACAGAAATTAAACAAACTATGTCAATAAAATATATACCAGCTCAGAAGAAGGCTGATTTAGATGAGGAAATGATTGTGTTATTAAAAAGGAGAGATGTAGCTGAAAATCTGAACAAAGAGTTACAGTTTCGGTATGAAAGTTTTTTTTTTTTTTAATGTTTGAAATTTTTATTTATGTTCATTCTAATATTCCACCATTTGATGTTAGACTTACGTGGTGTTGATATTTCTTATATTTATAGTCATCAAAGAATGCAGATTATTTCACAAGCCCTTACTTCATGGATAGAATCTGATAAGAATAGCACAATTCAAGACTTGGTGGAGGAGATTCAGAAAACCAAAGATTTACAAGGTAGGTTATGTGTGTTTTTAATTAACACAAACAATGAAAGATTTTTTTTCAGTTGGCTAAAGTCTGGGGTTTTCTTTTCTTTTTTCTTTTGGAGAGGTTTTTTTTTGCTACAGGGTGCATGCTCTCGCCAGAAAGACAAAGAGAGACAGAGAGATAGAAAGCGAGAAATCACCCCCCAGGGGGTATGGCCACGCCACAATTCCTTCTTCTCCATTCTCCTCTTGGGATCTTGGCCACACACGCACATGCTCCTGGTGTGAATTTAAGCCGCTGGGTCCGGGACTTGAACCGCAGTCGACCACATGGGAGTCCAGTAACATAGCCATTATATTAACTGCTGGTCCCAAGAATAGGGTTTTCTTTTTTTTTTTTTTTTTTGGAGAGGTTTTTTTTATAGGCTCGCCAGACAGACAGAAAGTGAGAAATCACCCCCTAGTAGGGATGGCCACTCCACAATCCCTTCTCCTCCATTCTCCTCTAGAGATCTTGGGCACGCATGCACATGCGCCCGGCAGGAGTTCAAGCCACTGGATCCGGGACTCGAACCGCGGTCGACTACGTGGGAGTCCAGTGACATAGCCATTACGCTAACTGCTGGTCCCAAGAATGGGGTTTTCTTAGGCTACGGCTTAAAGAAAGCAAAATATTTACTTCTGCTAGTTACTTCTGTGGGTTTCTTCCTTCAACAGCTGATAGAAGATTGATAAAGAATGGGGAGAACGTTCCTAAAAAAGTTCGTGGAAAATGTGTGTTATGAAAAATTAAGTGGATTTAAATGTTCCTTTGTACCAAAATAAACATGTACTTTTAATTTTGTAAATTTAATTTTATTTATTATTTTTACTATTTTTAAATTTGCTGTAGGGACATGTGTTTACCAGAGAGAGTGAGAGAAAGGAAAATTGAGAAAGCAAGCTGCCGGGTCTAGGACTTGAATTGTGGTTTGCCATGTGGGCGTCCAGCGCTGTAACTGCCACACCACCTGCTGACCCAATAAACTTGTATTTTAACTCCATTTTTCTGTGAAGCTTTAGAACCAAAGAGAGAATACCTGTAAAGAAAGAAAGAGCCAGGGAGGCTACTCAGTTTAGAAAGAGGTTGGTGCTGATAGAAGCCATAGTAGTAAGTTGTTAGTATTCAACACCTATATGTTTATTATTTGTTGATAAATAATCTTAAATATCTTCCATTGGTATTTTTTATATTTATAGGTGACCAAGGCACTGTAGAGGAACTACTTCAAGATGATCCAAGCAGGGCAAAAGAAGCTGAAATTATGCTTTACTACATTGAAAGGCAAATATTTTAAAAGCTTTGACTTTACATGTTAAAAATGACCACATTAACCACTTACTTAGTATTTTAATGAGTCGTAGTCTCTAGCTTTTGAATGTTTACAAATCTATGCTATAGACAGAAAGAGAAAATTCTAGGTAGACTCTAGTGTATTTACCAGAGAAAATACACTAGAATTTTTAAAAAATAGATTCTTTGAGGCAAAATTAACAGGTTAAGAGTCTAGGAGCTTTTCCAGAGGAGCTAGGAAGATTGTAGTGTTGGTATAAGTTATATATGTAAATATATTCTTAAAAATTTAACTCCATTTATTTATTTATTTATTTATTTATTTATTTATTTGGGAGAGGTTTTTTCGCTATAGGGCGTGTGTGCTCGCCAGTAAGACAGAGACAGAAAGCGAGAAATCACCCTCCAGGGAGGATGGTCACGCCGCAATCCCTTCTCCATTCTCCTCTTAGGATCTTGGGCATGCATGCACATGCGCCTGGCGTGAGTTTTAAGCCACCGGGTCCGGGACACGAACCGCGGTTGACTACGTGGGAGTCCGGTGACATAGCCATTACGCTAACTGCTGGTTCCCAACTCCATTTATTTATTTACTTATTTTTTAATTCGAACAGAGAGGGACAGAACGAGAGAGAGAGAGAGTGAGAAAGCAAGCTGCCAGGTCCAGGACTTGAACACAGTTGCCCATGTGGGAGTCCAGTGCCTTTAATTACCATGCCACCTCCCGGTCCCAATTTTATTTATATTTTTCTTGCATTCTCCAACCATTAACCTAATATCAAAAACTGTTTTTGAGAATGTCATCATAATTAATATCACCCTAGCAATTTCAGTCTTTTTCCCTCCTTATTCTTTCTTTTTTAAAATGATATATTTATTTTATTTGTTATATTATTTATGTTTTAATTTTACCAGAGAAAGACAGACAGAGAGAGAGAGAGAGAGAGAGAAAGTGAGACAGCAAGTCACCAGGTTTGGGACTTGACCTGCAGTCAGACATATTGGAGTCCAGCACCTTAACCACTATACCACCTGCTGCCCCCCCCTCATTATTTCTATCCTAATGATATATTAAGGCATACTTCTTTCTGATACTTAAGTTATTATCTATGCAGGTTGACTGTCCCTAATCTGAAAATCCCACGTCCAAAATGCTCCAAAATCTGAAACGGTACTATCATATGCCACAAGTGGAAAATTCCACACCTGACCTTACGTGATGGGTCCAGTGAAAATGTACGTTCATAAAAATCATATTTTTTTCAGGATCCTTAAAGGAGAAAAAACTTTCCCTATTCCTTTTAGCTGCCATGTGTCATTCCCCAGCATACCCAGACTACCTCACCCCCACAAGCATCCCCACAAGAATTTCATGCACAAAATTGGGAAAAATATTGCATAAAATTACCTTCGGGATATGTGCTTAAGGTGTATATGAAACAAATCAAATTCATGTTTAGGGCCAGCCCTGTGACATAGTTATTAAGGGAGCTGGATCCCTTAAGGCCAACTGTACGTTTGAATTCTGAGTCCCGCCAGTCTGGAAAACACACCAAGCATGTATGCATGATGTGTACCCGAAATGCTAATGGGGTGGGGAAATAGAAGAGAAGGGATTGTGCTGTTACCATGCCCCTGTGAGGGGTGATTTCTTCCTCTCCCTGTGTCCTGTGTCTTTGTCTCTCTTTCGTGAGTACAAGCCCTCTAGTTAAAAAAAAAAAAAAAAAATTACTTTTTTTTTTGGAAGGGGGGTTTAGATTTGGGTCTCATCCCTAAGGTATTTCATTATGTTTTTGCAAGTATTCCAAAATGTGAAATCAAAAACACTCTGGTTCCAAGCATTTCAGATCAAAGAAATTCAACCTGTAATATTTATAGAAGCTTAAAGTGATTTTAAAGACGTTATTGTTCTTCTCCTTAAATTTTGCCAGAGGGTACATACACTCCCTAGGGCAAGAGAGACAGAAAGTAAAGAGAGGGAAAGTGAGATAGCCCCCAGAGGATGGTCTTATCCCAATCCCTTCTCCATCTCTCCTTTCAGGAATTAGGTCATGCATGTGACAGGTGTTTTTCTCAAGCTTTTGAGTCTAGGATTTAAACCGAGCAGTTGGCCATGTGAAATTCAGCATCTTAATTACTATGCCACGGCTGGCTCCCAAGACTTTATTCTTTAAGAGATTAATTCATAGACTATGAAGGCACTGTGTAATGAACATAAGTAATATTCCTAGTGCTACATGTTAAACAGTTGTTTTGTGTTAATTTGTTTGTCAATATGGTACAAAGAAGTGGGTAAAGATAATTTGGGGGCACCAAAGCCTGTGTTATTTCCTTATACTATTTACTTCTCTAAGTTTAACAGCTTTTTTTTTCTTTGGGAGAGGTTTTTGCTGTAGGGCGTGCGCACTTGCCAGACAGAGACAGAGAGACAGAAATCGAGAAATCATCCCCCAGGGGGGATGGCCACGCTGCAATCCCTTCTCCTCTGTTCTCCTCTCGGGATCTTGGGCATGCACGCACTTGAACCCAGCTTGAGTTTTAAGCCACCAGGTCCGGGACGTGAACTGCGGTCGACTACATGGGAGTCCAGCGACAGTCCTTATGCTAACTGCTGGTCCCTAAGTTTAACAGCTTTGATAAGAGAGGAGAACCACTGTTAAGACTGAAAGTTTTATGTATTTTGCTTAGTGGCCCCGCCCCCATCCCAGGGTTCTATATTTAATTGCAAGACAATGTAAACCCTGTTTGCCATAGTTTTACTAATTGTGAAGTAAGCTGTTTTAAAGACTTGTTGACAATAGAAGAGGAGTAGAGGCTTTTCTTCTTGTGTTAGTCTAATATTTAATTGGAAGTTTGATGCCTGGAAGTGGACATAGGCTTCTGAACACCAAGGAGACCTCTTGATCTATCTGCAATTTGGCAGCCTTTGTGTTCAATTAATATTTCTTCTAGGCTGAGTTTCTAAGCAGATTTCCCTTCTTTTCCCTGAAACCCCTGTTTCCTATGGAGATGACAGAGAAAAAAATCTGAGCTCAGTGTAAATTCACTTCTTTCTCTTCTCTGGCTTGCTCTAAGTTCTCTAAGAACAAATATAGAATCAGCTGACAGGTTAGGGTTTTATTCTGAAACTGAAACACACAAAAAAACAATAGAATGTTAGAGAAAGAATCGAAAGACTACCTTAAAGAGTAAGTCTAGCTCTAGTTTATTAGAATTGCTTTTCATTTTTCTATATTATTATGCTACTCTTTTCAGTTGGTACTAAACATTTTAAATCAGTCTTCTTTCTTTTTGTCCACTATTATAATGCATTATAAAATGCAATGACTATAGGTTCAATGAATTAATCTCACTTGGTGCATATGAAAAGGCAGCTTGTTTTGCAGCAAATAGTCCTAGAAGAATTCTTCGAAACATTGGTACGATGAATAAATTTAAGGGTAAGCATTTTACTCTGAACCTTATGTATGTACACAAGTTATTTTTTTTCTCTGATATAATGGAAAAAATATTAACCTGAAAGACTTAATATTAAGATCTGAGTTCTAGCCCTACCCCTGCCATTTCCTTAGTTTCTTTTAGCTGTAACATTAAGGGATTTGATTAGATTTTTTACATTAAGTTATAAAATATTTCCAGCATATAGAAAAGTATGAAGAAACATATTAGCAGTCATGTATTTACTGTCAAAATTTAATAAAGGAGTAAGATGGTGATGCAGTGGCAATATTGCAAGTCTCGCCTACACGGGAGGGGTCTGGATCTGTGTTTAAAGATCTCTCTGGGCATGCCGAGCACATGCCAGGGTTGGATCAAGGTATGGGGGCCTGATGGAGATGACAGTCTCTGTCTGTCTATCTGTCTCATTCATAGAAGAAATAAATAAAGTTTTAAAAAGATAAGATTTAACAAATGTTGGGGCTGGCAGGTGGCGTGGCATGATGGTTAAGGGCACTGGACTCCCACATGGCCAACAGCAGTTGAAGTTCTGGATCTGGCGGCTTGCTTTCTCATTTTCTCTCTCTCTTTCTCTCTCATTTTCGCTCTCGCTCTCACTCTGTACTTCTCTGGCCAAATTACAATAAATAAAGTTAAATAAAATAATTCTTTAAAAAAAGATTTAACAAATGTTAATGTATTATCAAATTCACTCTATATTTTTTTGAAAAACAGCTTTCTTTTAGTAAATTGAAAATTGTATATATTTAAAGTACACAGTTTGATATGTTTTATGTATATGTACACACACACACACATGCACATGCACACATGCACACCCATGAGAACATCAAAAGTTCTCTTGTGCCTCTCAATACTCCCTATGTTCCCATTCCTTCTGAGTCCTCCCTGTTTCCTATAGTTTCTCTTCCCTCCAGTGAATAGGCACCCACTAGTCTACTTTCAGTCACCACAGATTAGTTTGCATTTTCTATTGTAGAATTTTATGTAACTGGAATCACATGGTAGGTGTTCTTTTTTGACTTACTGGTTTAAAAAGTTTTTCAAAATATTTTGCCAGAAGGTGCATATACTTGCCAAAGAGACAGAGAGAAAGAAAGAGGGAGAAAGCACACCCCATTGGAATGGTCGCAGCATAATCCCTTCTTCATTTCTCCCTTTTGTGGGGATTTTGGGCACAGCATGATTTTCAAACCACCAAGTCCAGGACTTAAACCACAGTTGGTCCTGTGGGAGTCAGTGATGTAATTGCCACATCATCTGCAGGCCCCTTATGTTCCTAAGCTGTAAATCTGTACAGCATATTACTGTACTGGATACTGTGGGTGATTGTAACACGACGTAAGTACTTGTATATCTGAATATACCCAAACATAGAAAAGGTATGGGAGGATTAGAAGTCACTCTTAAGTGAGTTAACAAATGAGTGGTTAGTGAATGTGAAAGCCTAGGACTTTATTGGACACTACTGTAGACTTTATATACATTAAACTTATGCTACACTAAATTTATTAAAAATATTTTCTTTCTTCAGTTATAAATTAACTTGTAACATTTTTACTTGATGAACTTTTCAATTTTTTAAAAAACTGTTGATTCTTGTAATAACATTTAAAACATAAACACATTTACACTTGTACAAAAATATTTTTTCTTCATATCATCCTATAAGTTTTTTTTTCTTTCTTTTTTTTTTTTTGAGAGGTTTTTGCTATAGAGTATGTGTACTCACCAGAGAGACAGAGAGACAGAAAGTGAGAAATCATCTCCCCCTCTTGGGTTTTGGTCACTCATGCACATGTGCTGGCATGAGTTTTACACCGCCAGGTCCGGGACTTGAATTGCTGTTGGCTACATGGGAGTCCAGTGATGTAACAATTAGGCCATCTGCTGGTCCCATTTTTCTTGTTTTTAAGATTATGATTTTTATTTTACCTTTTTTAAAAAACATTTTTGCCATAGGTTATGGGCACTCACCAGAGAGACAGAGAGAGGGAAGGTGAGAAATCACTCCTCAGAGGATGGCCATACAACAGTCCCTTCTCTATCATTCTCCTCTTGGACATTTGGGCATGTATACACATGTGCCCAGTGTGTTTTTCAAGCCACTGGGTCTGGGACTTGAACCGTGGAGTTAGCCATGTGGGATCCAATGCCTTAACCACCATGCCACCTGCTGGCCTTATTTTTACTTTTTAAAACGTTAAAAACTAAGATACAATCGCATTAGCGTAGGCCTACGCAGCATTAAGATCATCAATATCTCTGTCTTCCATCTTCCCATCTTTTCCTACTAAAAGGTCCTTAGGGTCATTAACACCGGGAAGCTGTCATCTCTTATGATAACAATGCTTCCTTCTGGAATGTCTCTTGAAGGGCTTTCCTGAGACTCTTCTTAAGAAGATGTCATTCAGGACAGGACCAGCAGAAAGCATAATGATTGTGTCCCTGGATTCCTACATAATAGACGGTGGTTTGAGTCATGGACTGGTGGCTTGAAACTCACACTGGCTATGGGTGTGTGAGGGTGCTTTAAGATCCTGAGAGAAGAATGGAGAAGAGGGGATTACAGTATGGCCATCCCCCTGGGGGGGTAGTTTCTTGCTTTCTGCCTCTCTGTCTCTCTGTCCCTCTGTCTCTCTTTGTCGCTCCAGCAGGCACTTGGGCCCTATAGCAAAAATCTCTCTTAAAAAAAAAAAAAAAGATGTCATTCTCTTTTTTCCAGCCAGTGCCTAGTGACAGGTGTCTCTTGGGTCAACTGGCACAGGCACCACAAGACTGGGGGCAAGAGAAAATCCTACCACAAGAAGCAGATGTATGAGCCCAGACATCCCACTGCCAACACTAAGATCGGTCCAGATGCATACGCACAGTCAGTATGCAGGGAAGTAACAAGAAATACCACGCCCTGAGGCTGGATGTGGGGAACTTTTCCTGGGGCTCAGAGTGCTGTACACACAAAACAAGGATCATCGAAATTGTCTACAATGCATCTGATAATGAGCTGGTCCACACCAAGACCCTGGTGAAGAACTGCATCTTGCTCATTGACAGTACACCGCACCCACAGTGGTAGAGTCTCACTGTGCACTGCCCCTGGGCTGCAAGAAGAGGGCCAGGCTGACTGCCGAGGATGAAAAGATTTTAAACAAAAAGCAATCAAAGAAATTCGGAAGAAATATGAAAGGGAAAAGAATGCCAAAGTCAGCAGTCTGCTGAAGTAGCAGTTCTAACAGGGCGAGCTTCTTGTGTGCTTGTCATCCAGACCCGGCTAGGGCTGCTGAGCGGATAGCTGTGTGCTAGAGGGCAAAGAGTGGAGTTCTTCCCAAGGAAAATCAAAGCCCAGAAAGGCAAATCAACCTTCCAGTCTTTGCTCATGTAATAAAGATGTTTATTGTTCCATGTTGTTAAAAAAAAAAGTGTCATTCTTTTCAGAAATGTGTCCATGATGGTTTCCTTGGTTGTTTTTGTTTTGTTTTTTCATCATGGATTTGCTTGTAAGCAGATAATGCACATGAACATTCCTTTGGATTATTGAAAACTTCTTGGTGTTTGGGTCCATGTTTTCGAACATTTCAAGGACCTCATTGTTGAGGTCTGCTACACTTCTGCTAAACCCTTCACTGTAAGTTTTCTTGGAAATTCATTTTCTTCTTCTGTGGTTTCCTTTTCTCTTGCCCCTTCTAGGCAATAGTAATTTCTCAGCTCCATCATAATCTTATGGCACCACTGTTGTATATGTGGTCTGCCTTTGACCAAACATCCATTACACAGTGCATGACTGTATTCAGCTTTGTTTTAGAGTCCACATAATAAGCATGATCATGCAATATTTTTATTACTATGTCCAGCTTATTTCACTTAACATAATATCTTCCAGAGTCACCCATGTTGTTGCAAGTGGCAATATCTCTTTTTGAAGGCTAAATGATATTCCTGTGTGTGTGTGTGAGTGTATGTGTACTACATTTTCTTTATTTATTCATCCACCCATATGAATTGATGAAAGCAATTAAAGAAGACACAGATAAATGGGAAGATACTCAGATGCTCATGAATTAGAAGAACTAATATTGTTTTTAAAAAATCCATACTACTAACAGTGATATAAAGGTGTGGTGTGATCTCTATGAAGATTCCAATGGCAATTTTCACAGAAACATAATCCTAAAATTAATATGGAATCACAAAATACTCCAAATAGCCAAAGTAATTTTGAAAAAGAATAAAGTTGGATGTATCACATTTTGTGATTTCAAATTGCACAACAAAGCAGTAGTAATCAAAACAGTTTACCATCTTGCTTTCCTTCAAGCCGGCAGTGACAGAGGGTCAGAGCTGTCCTGGGCCATGAAGCTACTGACGAGAGCCGGGACCTTCTCGAGATTTTATTCCCTCAAAGTTGCCCCCAAAATGAAAGCCACAGCTGCGCCTACTGGAGCTCTTCCACATCCTCAGGACCTTGAGTTTATCAAATTACCTAATGGCTTAGTGATTGCTTCTCTGGAAAACTATGCTCCTGCGTCAAGAATTGGGTTGTTCATTAAAGTAGGCAGTAGAAATGAGGACTCCAACAATTTGGGAACCTCTTATTTGCACTGTCTTGCATCCAATTTGACCACAAAAGGAGCATCATCTTTCAAGATAACCCATGGAATTAAAGCAGTTGGTGGTAATTTAAGTGTGACTGCGACACGGGAAAACAAGGCTTACACTGTAGAATGCCTGCGGGATGTCGTTGATACTCTGATGGAGTTCCTGCTCAATGTCACCACCGCACCAGAATTTTGTCGATGGGAAGTGGCTGCTCTTCAGTCTCAGCTAAGGATTTACAAAGCTGTGACTTTTCAGAATCCACAGGCCCGTGTCATTGAAAATCTACATGCTGCTGCTTACCGAAATGCTTTGGCTAATTCCCTGTATTGTCCTGACTATAGGATTGGAAAAGTGACATCAGAAGAGTTACACTAGTATGTTCAGAACCATTTTACAAGTGCAAAAATGGCTTTGATTGTACTTGGTGTGAGTCATCCTGTTCTAAAGCAAGTTGCTGAACAGTTTCTGAACATGAGGGGTGGGCTTGGTTTGTCTGGTGCAAAGGCCAAATACCGAGGAGGCGAAATTCAAGAATAGAATGGAGACAGTCTTGTCCATGCGGCTATTGTAGCAGAAAGTGCTGCTGCAGGAAGTGCAGAAGCAAATGCATTTAGTGTGCTTCAATATGTACTCACCGCTGGGCCACGTGTCAAGAGGGGCATTAATCCCACGAGTCCTCTCTACCAGGCTATTGCCAAGGGAGTTAACCAGCCATTTGATGTTTCTGCATTTAATGCCAGTTACTCAGATTCTGGACTCTTTGAGATTTACACTATCTCCCAGGCTGCAGCTGCTGGAGATGTCATCAAGGCTGCCTATAATCAAGTCAAAGCAGTTGCTCAAGGAAACCTTCCCAGTACAGATATTCAAGCTGCCAAGAACAAGCTGAAAGCCGGATACCTAATGTCAGTTGGAGTCTTCTGAGGGTTTCCTAGATGAAGTTGGGCCCCAGGCGCTCGTTGCTGGTTTGTACCTGCCACCATCCACAGTCCTGCAGCAGATCGACTCAGTGGCTGATGTTGATGTCATAAACGCTGCAAAGAAGTTTGTTTCTGGCCAGAAGTCAATGGCAGCAAGTGGAAATTTGGGGCATACACCTTTTGTAGATGAGTTGTAATGTTGAAGTACATAGTACAGGAAAGAGCTGAACATCTCAGCCCCAAGCAGCAAACACCTGAAGGTCAAAAGTCTATAAATAAAATACTCATCCTTTTTTGTCCCCATGGGGTAAAATCTTTTAAACCATAAATACAGATAATTATTCCCAGCTGTCCTAAAGTCAATAAAACATTCTACTTAAAAAAACAAACAAACAAAAACCCAAACCAAACCAAACCAAAACAAAACAAAACAAACCAGTTTGGTACTAAAAAGGCATAGAAAGCAACCATGGATACCAGAGACAGTGTGGGAGGAGGGTGGGAGATGGCAGAGAGTGAAAGATAGGGAATCAGGGATGGGAAAAAAAACAAAATATACAGGAAACAAGAAATGGAAAATTATTTGTTGACGATAACATATGTGTTGATATGCTTGACTGAGCCAATATACAGTGTATTCTGGATGGAAAATCTCATTTTGTATGCTATAGTGATGTACAGTGAATGAATGTAAATAAATAAATTTAAATTTAAAAAACCAGTTTGGTACTGGCATAAAAACAGACATAAATCAGTGAAACAGAATCTCCCAGAAATAAACCCAAGCATATACAGTCAATATATTTTTGACAAGGCTGCCAATAAGACACAGTGGAAAAAGGACAATCTCTTCAATAAACTGCTGAGAAAGCTGGATATCCACTTGCAAAAGAAGGTGAAACCAGACGCTTGTTTTACACGATACACAAAAATCAACTCAAATGTGTTAAAGACTTAAATATAAGATCTGAAACTGTAAAACTCCTAGAAGAAAACCAGAAAAAGCTCCTTGACTTTAGCTTTGGCAATGACTTTTTGAATGGTGTGAAATAGATATGTTAATTAGCTTGACTGTAATAATGACTTTGCTATGTTTATGTATATCAAATATCATGATGTAGCCTTTTGGCTGGAACCACCATCTTCCAGTAATTCACTAAAATGAC